ATTATGGAGTTAGTAGTTATTTGATTTTCAAGTTCCGGAAAACCAGAGTTCATACGTGTATACTATATTGGGATATGTAAGAAACTCGTAGGGGTTTACTTTATACCGCATATGTTTGGATGCAGGCCGGCTCAATACAATTTATATAGCTTTGGGTAGAACCTTATTTTTTAAACTACATCTATCAACTTTTTAAAACATGTTATTTAAAAAAAACAAAATATTTTAAGATTGTTATTAAACTAACTACTATTTTAGTTCTTTGTTTCTAAAATATTTTTATCATAATGTTTTAACACTATCTATATTTAACATAATATTATCTATAATTTTCTATTATTTACAAAAAGTGAAATTTGCAAAGAACTTTAATTGAGGAGGTGGAACTAATCTCCCCTATGTTAAACCGATACTGTTTTGATGCAGAACTGGTTATATACCCTTTACATGCAGGTTTTAACAATTTGGTTTAGTTTGCGTCGAACTTCAAACCACTAACAATAGTGCCGGTCCAACATTTTCAATTTTGTATACCTAAAACTCACTTAAAATTTTATGCTTTTATTATTCATGTAAATATTTTACATTGTCCTATATGTAACTAAAATTATCACTTAAAATTATTATGCGTTAAGCGGTCACTTACCGCTCTTATACTTCAGACCGGACCCGACTAACAAATATGAAAAGTTACCGAGCTGAATTCAGAAAAAAATAAAGAACTTAATATACTTTCACCCATTTTTTGAAATTATCAATAAAAATAGAGAAACAAAGTTTGCCTTAATAGCTAGGGGAAGTTAGTTTGAAGCCTTATTCTCAATGAGAATGGTCGGACTCAATACGGGTGCTAGGTTCGGCAAGATATGAATCATATCATATGATCCACTATCAACACATACTAATATAATCATGTATGCTTTTTCTATTATTATTTTTTTTTGTTATGTGCCCACTTTGTAACGATTCAGACAATAACATCTTTAAACAAGAAATTTTAATTTCGAGAATTGTATAATACACACGATTTATCGAAATTCAGTAAAAATAGGTGATCGTTTGAAGTATTCAAAAGATGTTATCTATAACATTATTTAAAGTAAATTTGCTTAGTTGTCAACTTCTCCATGATTTTAGGCTATTTTACTTATTTTCATGTTTTAATAATTTATTATATAATAAAAACGAATTTATGTTAATAATATTATATTTTTAGGAAATATGTTAATTCTTTTGTATTAGATTGTTATCTTAAAAATATATTATTCAATTATTATTTTAGAAGTAAAAATTTGGTTAGTTGTCAACTTCTCCATGATTTTAGGTTATTTTGCTTATTTTCATATTTTAATAATTTATTATAAAATAAAATAAAAAGAATTTATGTTAATAGTATTATATTTTTAGAAAATATGCTAATTCTTTTGTATTAGATTGTTATCTTAAAAGTATATTTTTTAATTATAAAATTTAAGTGAGCTTGCTGATTAATTTGTAACTTTCTGTGATTTAGGTAATCTATACTATTATATGTGAATGATTTTTTGCAAGAAAGCTCTCACGTTGAAAGTTAGAACGGTTAATATCGTTTATACTCTTAATGAATAATTAAAAAATTTAATATAATTAAACATAAATAAAATACGAATTTCAATGATTTTAGATTTATCTTTATCTAAAACTATTTTATAATGGGTTATAAAGTTTTTATTAACCTTGAAAAATAATTATATTAGTTATTATACTTGAAAATAATTATATTAGTTAATATATAATTAATTATAAATTAAAATCGAATTTCATTTATTTGATAATTATCCTTATTTTTTTATATTATGTGATAAAGTCTTTATCAACCTTGAAAAATAATTATATTTGTTAACATATAATTAATTCTAAATTAAAAAATGAATCTCATGAATTTGATAATTATCTTTATCTAACTTTTTTATATTGTCTTATAAAGTCTTTATTAACGTTGAAAAAATAATTCTATTTGTTAATATATAGTTANTTTTTATATTATGTGATAAAGTCTTTATCAACCTTGAAAAATAATTATATTTGTTAACATATAATTAATTCTAAATTAAAAAATGAATCTCATGAATTTGATAATTATCTTTATCTAACTTTTTTATATTGTCTTATAAAGTCTTTATTAACGTTGAAAAAATAATTCTATTTGTTAATATATAGTTAATTATGAAAAAACAATTTGCAAAGTATTTATGTATAGATAATTTATATTGTGTTATCCAAAACATTATTAAACATAATTTTTTATACTTTTTTGTAATGTCTAACAACGATATTAATTTATTACTAAATGTTTCAAGTTTATGAGTATTTTCAAATATAAGTTGTGTAATGAAAATTATTTATATGATGATGAAAATTTTATAAATAAAAAGAATTTCTTTAATTTATTATTAAATATTTTGAGTCTATGAACAATAATTTATTATAATTTACATAACTTGATTATATATTTATTTATAAATATTAGTAAAATTATTAAGCCCGCAAGTGCGGCCAAAACACCTAGTAATTAATTAGAGGCTAAGTGCTAATTTAACTTCGAATCAAGAGAAAGATGTATAGTGGAGTAAGTTCGTCGAGAACCGCAAGCCGCAAATTACGTATATATATCTATCTATGCATATTTTATTTCTGAGGGGTTACATATTTCAATAGATGATCAGTTTTATCAGTCTATTTTCTTAACTAAAAAGTTAGAATCGAAATTCTACTCATCTAAGATTGTACTGCGTTCGTAAAACGATGTCTCCTTCTAGCAGAGATCGAAGATGAATAAACAGCTAGTAGTTTTTAAAAGTTAGCATTGACTTTCTTATTTTGATTTCCACAGGTCTCAAGGCTGTACGAGAAAGAACAAATAGACTAGTCAACATAATTAGATAAATTCATGGGAAGCTAATTAATCTATTGTAACTTTGTTTTTTTTCTTTTGAAAAATCAAGCATTCATATTTCATCAGATTAGCAAATAGCAACTCGTTCGTGCATGGCCTATATGTAGTGGACATCTATTGTTGTCGACCCAAAAATTTAACAAGACAAAACCTACTGAGTAATAACTGCTTATATATTTTTCAAAAAAAATAAAAAAAAATAACTGCTTATATAGACTCTTCAGTAATGTTTAAGTAAGCGATGACTTTGGACGTCCCAAAATTTTAACAAGACAAAACCTACTCGATACTTAACTGCATACATAGTCTCTCCGGTTTCAATGATGAACTTTGGTCTTGAAGTCTCCTACCTCGGTTTTCATCTTCTGCTCATATGGTTTTGGCTTTGTCATCATAGTCCATATGCAACCGCTTTCAAACCCTTTCATTTGGGTATTTCAACATGTTCTTTTGAAGAACAGTTTTAAGGATTCATGTGAAGCTTTTTTTTACGGATTAACACATTTGTCTTTTATTTTACTGTATATTTCTTTTAAGTATTCGCTTAAAGCTATTGAACCCTTAGTTTAATATAATCAGTTGGTGCACCAAAAAAAAAATGTCTCTCTGATAATAGTTATGTAACCTATCAAGTTTACGAGCAGTCTAGATCCTAAGCAAAGTATCCAGACTAAGATTGCACAATAGTCATATGGCATAATCATTTCATATAATGACCTAGGTTGAACAAAATAAACATCTTGTCGATGAAAATGAAGGAAAAATGGAAGATTATTTATTCGCATTTGTCAAGAAAAGGGTGGAAGATAAGGAAAATAACATATAGTTGATTTGTTGCTTTCAAGAGTTACCATTATCTCACAAGCAAATTTAATGTGTTACATAAATTGTTATCTAATAACAGAAACAAAAACGTGATAGTAGGCAACATGGGGTCAATTTTACAGACAAGAAAGATTGAAAGAAGTAGTCGTTTTACCAAATCGGCCTATCGCCATAACCCACTTGTCTAATTTGATTAACACCCACAGCTACGCCTGCTCAATCTGGCTCTGTTCAGTTTTTTCGATTTTTCGGTATTTCGATTTGCAAATTAAGTACCATACTAGAATTATATCTATTTTAGTTTGGTTCGATTTTTATACTACCGAATTTCGGTTTATTCGGTTTTATAAGAAAAATTTATTGTTTGGTTTCATTTCTTATTATATGAATTTCAAAGAGTGTTGTCAAAACTATCATATATTAAAAAATCTCGGGTGCTCATAAATAACAGAATTTCAAAGAATAATAAACCAAACAATCAGTGACTCAGTTTTTATTTTTTATTTTTATTTTGTCTTCCATGTTCATCCAAAGAAATTCCATGTTACAATCTAATTTTACAATTTCTAAATAATACAAAATCAAACCAAATCAAATCTAGATAATAGTTAAAAAATAATTTTTTTAAGACATATTATCACTCGATCAATTACCCAGTAGCAAAAGAAGAAAAAGTTTAAAAAAGGACTATTCCAAAAAATAAGAAGCTAAAAAATATCCGAAGCTGAGTAAATTGTTTTTATTTTTTAAGTGTTATTCAATTTATGGTGTCTTTGATGTAAAATATATGGTATTAATTATTAACAAGAAAATTAATTTATATAACAAATCAGTTATTATCTATCGTTATATAATATAAATATATATTTATATATATATTTATATGTTATAACTTTGATCGGTTTTATTCGGTTTAATCGGTTATAAAATTACATCCAAACTCTATAACTTTTATAAAATTATATCCATTCGATTTATATAGTGTATATCAAATCTAAACCATATTGTCTATTTCGGTTTGGTTCGATTAGGTACAATTCAGTATTATCATATTGACCAGCCCACATCAAACTAAAAGCAATCCAACCTTACAAACCGACTTAAAACCAAATTTCTCAAAAAAAAACAGCTAGGCCCATGAAGAAACGAATTCGAGTAAAGCCCATTAAGAAACAAAAGCCCAAAATCACGAAAACATGTGTTCACCGTCGTTATGCGCCTTCTCTCTCTCTGAGTCTCTCTCATCTTCTTCACAGGTTAGCTCCGATTAATAAACCCTAGCTCTTCCGATGTTTTCACGATTTGATTTCTGATTCATATGTTTTGCGTTTTGTAGATAAGATTTTCGCTGGAAAAAAATGGCGGGATGGCAGAGGAATCTACAATTGATTCGTCAAATTGGGAGAAGAGTGAAGAACACTAACGTTTCTACAGCTAATTACTCTTCAGCTCGGATTTTAGATTCCCCTTTCTCAAAAGGTGAATGCTTTTTGCCTTGTGTTATAATGTTGGAATCATTTTTAGAATCTATCTGTGAAGACATGTTTATTAGGAGTTCTTAGGTCGGGGTTCTTAACTCATAATTTGACATTTTTTCATTTTATTTATTATATTTTTTTGGTTAAGAACCATTCTTATATCTATTATTTAAGGCATGTTTATTAGGAGATCTTAGGTTGATTTTCTTAATTCATGATTTGAATTTTTTTTTAATTACAATTTTTGGCTAAGAACCAGCTCTTATATCTCTTATTTAAGAGTTTTTTTAGTTTTAAAAACTAAAAAAACGTATCTTAACCGAAACTAAGAACCCCCAATATAAACATGGTTTTATAATCTTGGATTTGTTATGGTATGTGTTGTGTTTGTGTGAGTGATGTTGATTCAGTTTTCGTGTTTTTTTAGCTCGTGAAGTAGGTTACTTGCAGGGTCTCTTGAGACCAACCTACTCCTCAACACCGCTGCATCATTATCTACAACAAGTGGTAATGTTTTATTAACTTTCTTTTTTCTTTGTTTGCTAATTCTGAATCTGTTTAATAGTAGTTTCCTCTTTGAGCTTGCTTGCTTGATTTGATGGGTTTATGTTGCTGTAGTTTCGCATTGAATGATTTAGGATATTGAAATATGGGAAGTGAGAGTTTGCTACTAGTGATAGACTATTATCTTATGGAACATATGTAACTCTAATAAAACTTAAGAACCTCTACTTATTTTGGTGTGGAAGTGATGGGATCATGTTCTATGCTTTCAGGGGATTTCTACCACAAGAAAACTGATGGCTGGTGAAGAACCTGTGTCATCACCTTTGTCATCTCCAGCTCTGTTGGGTTCTGGCAAAGAAGAAGAGCAGAAGATTGTCCCAAAGCGTAAGAGAGTTCAGGCTGTACTCAAGGCCATTAAGCAGGTCTGTTCTCTGACTCTTTAACAGAATCCGCTTTCCACTTCCTTTTTCGTTTAGTTATCAATATTGTTTGCTTGTTCCAGAGTCCTAAGAAGGTCAACTTAGTTGCAGCACTAGTACGTGGTATGCGTGTTGAAGATGCTCTGATGCAGCTCCAGGTCACAGTTAAACGAGCTTCACATACCGTGTACCGAGTAATCTCTCTGATCAGAGTCTAAAACAGACACCTCGTCATATTAGTACAGAAATTAAACCATTGTCATACAGGTTATTCACGCTGCTCGAGCAAATGCTTCTCATAACCATGGACTAGACCCTGACCGTCTCATCATTGGTATGTTAATACTGAACACTTGATCTATTCTCTGTTTGCTGCATTAAGGAACTATTTATTTGTTTGCAGCGGAAGCGTTTGTTGGGAAAGGACTCTTCAAGAAGAGGATATCTATCCATGGAAAAGGAAAATGTGGGTTGATGATAAGACCTGAATGTCGTCTAACTGTCGTAGTTAGAGAGACGACTCCAGAGGAAGAAGCTGAGATTGCGAAGCTCAAGGTTCACAACTTTAGGAAGCTAACCAAGCGAGAGAGGCGGCTAAACCCACACAAGCTTATCGAGACAACTCCAATCTGGAATCGCAGAGGTACTAAAGCTAATCATCGTTCTTCAGAGTTGGTGCCATCTCGCTAGTGTCTTCGTTACAAGAACGGATTAAGGTACAATGACTAGTGTCTTAGATGCACCTTCTTGTTTGTTTTTGGTTTGACATTGTACTCAATAGGATCGGTTTATTATTTGCATTCAATAAAATGTTGCAAGAACAGATTAAGGTATTAAAGGTTATTTTCTTTCTATTATTAAAGGTTAAATCAAGAAGAATGTACATAGTAACATTGCTCTTGTCGACAAAAACCAAAATAAAAGAGAATCGCAACATTACCATTAACACTTGTAAGCAATTTTATCAATGCAAACTTGTATGTGTTTCACGAATGTTTTGAGTTCTTTCTCTGAAAATTAATTTTGATATTAACCGAGTCCAATTCCATTAACATTAAAAATAAACCGTCATAAAACTAATCCATCTATTATATTAAAAGAGAAGTCATGATTCAATTCATGTGTGATTTTTTAAGTTTGGACTATCCTTAGAAATTTTATATAACATAACATCATTATAATATCTTTTCATATTTTTAATTTTTATTTGAAATACAAATAAATAATTTTAAGAAAAATCTAACAAAATCTTTAAAAAATCTTATAAAATATTTTCAAGATATAGTTTCAAAAATTATTTGATTAAAAATTTAATTATCATAGAATATAATTTATTTAATTCATTTTTAACAAAAATATACTCTTAAGAATATCCCAAAATTTTGTTTATGTATTATGTAGATCTAATTTAATTTACTTTTTATATATTTAAAATTTAGAAATAAAACAAAATATATAAATTAGTAATGTTACATAATAATGTTTTTAAAAATTGTTACAAAAATACAAATTTATAAATTTTAAATTAATAATATTATAAGCTACATAAATATTATTATAAATTTGGATAGTAAATACAATCAAATTATATTTATTTATTGATAAATTTTACTCCCTCCATTACTTAATATATGATGTTTTGGATCATAGCACAAAAATTAAGAAATTTACATTCTTTTACAAAATTATTTTTAAAGATATAATTTTATAATCATTCAACAAATTATTAAAAAGAGTAAAATTTTATCGGTTGAACAGTTTCCAATAAAGTTAAAGATAACTTTATAACCTCAAAATATACCTTAAAATCTCAAAACATCTTATATTTTGAAATAAAATAAATCTTATAAAACATCATCTATTTAAAATGGAGTGAATATTATATAATTTCAAATATTTTCGTATTAAAATACCCGCATGGTTGTGTGGGTCGAGATCTAGTTTACATTAAAAATAATACGATTAAACCGTCATAAAAGTTTTATGATAAAACTAAGTACCAGCCATGACTAGTTAAGTTATTAAGCATCCAAATCAAGCCACGTGGATCAACCTTCTGTCGACTCCTCTCATACCATGAACACGTGTCTCTAACCCAACTCCCTTCATATGAGAGCACTATCTTGTCCAAAAAGGTACAAAGAAACAAATTAAAGCAGAAACATTCCTAAAGTAGGTGGTGAGAGAGTGCAAGAAAAAAAAAGAAAAGATAACTCGACAGCAAGAATGAGTTCTGGTATTGGAAGTTTAGTGAAAGTCATCTTTAAGAACTTCGACGTCATCGCTGGGTACATTAACATATAGCCTAGCCTATTTTCACGTTTTAGTTTTCTCATTAATTTGATCTTCTTTTTTGCATGTGTTGGTGTTTGCAGACCTATTATTAGCTTGGTTTATCCTCTGTAAGTCCAATATAACTTACTTGCCTTAGAGTTTGTCAAATCTCTAAATACATGTGCCACTTAAAGTCATCATGGTTTCTATTTTAATTAAGATACGCATCAGTGAGGGCAATAGAGTCGAGAACCGGTAGAGACGACAAACAATGGCTCACTTATTGGGCTCTTTATTCACTTATCAAACTCTTTGAGCTAACTTTCTACGGACTCCTCGAATGGTAATAATTTCAAAAAAATACCCTAATGAGACTTCCATAACTTTTTAAACAGTCTACGGACTTACTTTTGGGTGTACAAGTTTTTTTTTCTTTTTACATGGACTATTAATGAAAGTTTTTGAGGTTCATGGTATGATATCAGGATTCCAATATGGCCATACGCCAAGCTAGCACTAACGTGTTGGTTGGTGTTACCGGGCTTAAGCGGCGCTGCTTATCTTTATGAGAACTATGTGCGTTCGTTTCTTTTAAGGCCACATAATGTTAATATATGGTATGTGCCTGCTAAGAAGGACGAAGACGACTTACCAGCAGCTGCTGGAAAATTTACTCCGGTAAATGATTCTGGTGAGCCTACAGAGAAGCTTGTTAGCTCGGTATGACCTCTCTAAGTACTCTCTAAAACCCGTTTTATGATCTCAATGTTTGATCTCGAGAGACAGTTTAATTTGTTGGTTATTGTTACTATTTTTCAGGTGGATACATCAGCCAAATATGTTGGTCACTCGGCCTTTGATGATACATATGTCTACTAGTAAAGCTACTTGCTATTGTAAAGTTGTTGTTACGGTTAACAAATTTTAATACCAAAATGTTAAATGCATGGTATTTTATATTTGTTTTTATGTAATAACATCAAAGTACTACAACTAGTGAGTTTTCAACGAGTTTATTATGTCTTAAGATATATTATGCCTTCAATGAGTTAAGCTATATGGTATGACAACTCTGGTTGATTGCGGTTGTGTTGTTTCTTTTATCTTTATTCGATCTACCCGGTCTGCTAATTAACTTGTTAATTAGAGGTCAGAAATGAGACGTATTTTTTTCCGGCTACATCAGTAATTAAGCCACTATCCTAGCTCATGAAGGTAGATAAGTATATAGTTGTTTTGATCGATAATTTTTTTTTTTTTGCTAGCACAAATTCATAATCTGCACCAATGGTCCGTAAACCCATCTGATCTGGTTCGATTCCTTTTGAAAATAAAGTTGCTCATATTTGATCATTAAGTTTCGGCCAATAATGCTTACATAATAGTTTATTAACAGATGATTTGTAGATCAGCCGATATGCCGAAAAAATAATGATTCCATTAAAATTTGTTAATGTGCAGCAAAACCGTGTTGGTTATGTTTTCATCCATTTTCACATACCAACTATAATCAACTATACAATAGTCAGATCATTGTTTCCTTTACTCGTTAGAAACAAACCCCTATGAAAAAATGAATTTTCCGCTAAATGCTATTTATAATTTTTAGACATTTTAATATTTTTAAAAATTATCTAACCACATTTTTAATGTAAATTAATGTACGTTAAACATACTTTTATGGTACATAGTCATCTTTTCTAACTTCTAATGAGTAATTTGTTTAAACTTCATGTACGATCTAATTAGCATCCTAATCCTTATAAAATCTCTATTTTCTAGAGAAGTGAGAACACATAAGATCTAAAACCTCTTTAATCTTCATACTATGGCAGTGTATGATGAAAATATGAACTAAAACATAATACAATTTTTTTTAATTTTTCTTGAAATATGTGGATTAATCCTTACAAAAACATTGAATTTTATGATAAATGAAATCTATAATTTTTAGACACTTAAGTGTTGTTTAAAAATATAAAACCACACTCTCAATGGAAATTAATGTAGGCTAAACATATTTTCATGGTACATGTTCATCTTTTCTAACTTTGCAACGAGTAATTTATTTAAACTTCATATACGATCTAATTAGATCTAATTAGTATACTAATCCGCTATAAAATCTATATTTTATAGAGAAATGAAACACATAAGGTCCCAAACCTCTTTAATCTTCATACTATGTCAGTGCATTATGCAAATATGCATTAAAAGAAAATTACTAAATTTTCTATTTTTTCTTGAAATATGTGCGTTGAAAACATTGAATTTTACGATAAATGTTCTCTAGTATTATTAAACACTTTGTTGTTGTTTAAAATACCTAAAAACCATTCCAATGTATATTAATGTAGGCTAAACATATTTTCACGGTACATGGTTATCATTTCTAACTTTCTAACGAGTAATTTATTTAAACTTTATATACAATCTAATTAGTGTACTAACCCCTATAAAATTTGTATTTTCTAGAGAAATGGGAACACATAAGGTGTCAAACCTCTTTAGTCTTCATAATATGGCAGTGCATGATGCATTAAAACAAAATTACTAAATTTTCTATTTTATCTTGAAATATGTGAGTTTAACCCCTAAGAAAACATTGAATTATCTGATATTCTCTATTATTATTAGACACTTTGGTGTTGTTTAAAAATACCAAAAAAACTCCCAATGTAATTCAGTCTAAACATATCTTCATGGTCCATGGTCATCAATTCTAACTTTCCACGAGTAATTTATTTAAACTTCATATACGATCTAATTAGTGTACTAACCCCTATATAATCTCTATTTTCTAGAGAAATAAGAACACACAAGGTCTCAAACCTCTTTAATCTTCATACTATGTCAGTGCATTATGAAAATATGCATTAAAAAAAATTAACAAATTTTCTATTTTTTCTTGAATATGTGTTAGTAAAAATGAAATTTTCCGATAAATGCTATCTATAATTTTTAGACACTTCAGTGTTGTTTAAAAATAACAAACCGCACTCTTAATGTATATTAATTTAGGATAAACATATTTTCATGGTATTTGGTCATCATTTCTAACTTTTCAACGAGTAATTTATTTAAAATTCATATACGATCTAATTAGTGTACTAACCCATATAAAATCTCTATTTTCTAGAGAATTAGGAACACATAAAATCTCAAACCTCTTTAGTCTTCATAATATGCCAGTGCATGATGCACATAAACCATAAAACAAAATTACCAAATTTTCTATTTTTTCTTGAAATTTATGGGTTAACAACCCCTAGGAAAACATTGAATTTTACGATAAATGTTCTCTATTATTATTAAACACATTGGTGTTGTTCAAAAATACCTAACCACACTCCAATGCATATTAATGTAGGCTAAATATATTTTCATTACATGGTCATCATTTCCAACTTTCTAACGAGTAATTTATTTGAACTTTATATACGATCTAATTAGTGTACTAACCCCTATAAAATCTCTATATTCTAGAGAAATGGAACACATAAAATCTCTATTAGGATAAACATATTTTTGTGGTACATGGTCATCCTTTCTAACTGTCCAACGAGTAATTTATTTAAACTTCATATACGATCTAATTAGTGTACTAACCCCTATAAAATCTCTATTTAGTGGAGAAATAGGAACACATAAGGTGTCAAACATCGTTAGTCTTCATACTATGTCAGTGCATGATGACTATATGCATTAAAACAAATTTTATAAATTTTCTATTTTTTCTGATAAATGTTCTCTATTATTATTAGACACTTTGGTGTTGTTTAAAAATACCAAAACACACTCCCAATGTATATTAATGTAGGCTAGAAATATTTTCATTTTACATGGTCATCATTTCCAACTTTCTAACGAGTTATTTATTTAAACTTTATATACGATCTAATTAGTGTATTAACCCCTATAAAATCTCTATTTTCTAGAGAAATGAGAACACATAAGGTCTCAAACCTATTTAGTTTTCATAATATGTCAGTGCATGATAAAAATATGCTTTAAAACAAAATTACAAATTTTTCAAAATTTTCTTGAAATATGTGGGTTAACCCCTATGAAAATCTTGAAATTTCTAATAAATGTTCTCTATTATTATTAGACATTTTGGTTTTGTTTAAAAATACCTAACCAAAATCCCAATGTATTAATGTAGGTTAAAAATATTTTCACTTTACATGATCATAATTTCCAACTTTCTAACGAGTAGATTATTTAAACTTTATATACGATCTAATTAGTGTATTAACCCCTATAAAATCTCTATTTTCTAGAGAAATGGAAACACATAAGGTCTAAAACCTATATAATTTTCATACTATGTCAGTGCATGATGAAAATAGGCTTTAAAACAAAATTAGCGAATTTTCAAAATTTTCTTGAAAATATGTGGGTTAACTCCTATAAAACATTGAATTTTCAGATAAATGTTCTCTATAATTATTAGACACTTTGGTGTTGTTTAAAAATACCTAACCACACTCACAATGTATATTAATGTAGGCTAAAAATATTTTCATTTTACATGGTCATCATTTCTAAATTTCCAACGAGTAATTTATTTAAACTTCATATGCGATCTAATTAGTGTACTAACCCCTATAAAAATTCTATTTTCTAGAGAAATAGGAAAACATGAGATATCAAACCTCTTTAATTTTTGTACTGTGTCAGTGCATGATGAAAATATGCTTTAAAACAAAATTACCAGATTTTCTAATTTTTCTTGAAATACGTGGGTTAACCCCTATGAAAACATTGAATTTTCCGATAAGTGTTCTCTAGTATTATCAGACACTTTTGTGTTGTTTAAAAATACCTAGACACCATCCCAATGTATATTAATGTAGGCTAAACATATTTTCACGGTACATGGTCACCATTTCTAACTTCCCAACGAGTAATTTATTTAAACTTCATATACGATATAATTTGTGTACTAACCCCTATAAAATCTATATTTTCTAGGGTAATGAGAACACATAAGGTCCCAAACCTATTTAATCTTCATATTATATCAGTGCATGATGAAAATATGCATTAAAACAAATTTACTAATTTTTCTAAATTTTCTTGAAATATGTGGGTAAACATTGAAGTTTTCGATATTCTCTATTATAATTAGACACTTTGTTGTTGTTGAAAAATACCAAACCACACTCCCATTGTATATTAATGTAGGCTAAACATATTTTCACGGTACATGGTCATAATTTCTAACTTTCTAACGAGTAATTTATTTAAACTTTATATACAATCTAATTAGTGTACTAACCACTATAAAATCTGTATTTTCTAGAGAAATGGGAACACTTAAGGTGTCAAACCTATTTAGTTTTCATAATATGGAAGTGCATGATGCATATATGCATTAAAACAAAATTACTTAATTTTCTATTTTTTCTTGAAATATGTGGGTTTAACCCCTAAGAAAACATTGAATTTTCTGATATTCTCTATTATTATTAGACACTTTAGTGTTGTTTAAAAATACCAAAGCACACTCCCAATGTAGTTTAGGCTAAACATATTTTCACGGTACATGGTCATCATTTCTAACTTTCCACGAGTAATTTATTTAAACTTCATATACGATCTAATTAGTGTACTAACCCCTATAAAATCTCTATCTTCTAGAGAAGTAAGAACACAAGGTCTCAATCTTCGTACTATGTCAGTGCATTATGAAAATATGCATTAAAAAAATTTAACAAATTTTCTATTTTTTCTTGAATATGTGTATGTAAAAACTAAATTTTCTGATAAATGCTATCTATAATATTTAGACACTTCGGTGTTGTTTAAAAATAACAAAACACACTCTAAATGTATATTAATGTAGGATAAACATATTTTCATGGTACATGGTC